ACCAGTGCGGGGAGATAAAAAAAACAACATACCTAATGCCTGTCCAGACCAAACTTTACGTCCCGATGTATCGTACAAAAAAACGTACCAAATGTCGGCCCGGGCGCAGTTTTACGCCCCGAAAAAACAGCATACCTACTTCCGTCCTCCTTTATCTCTTTTCAACAATCCACCCTACCACCAAAGGACCGGGACATGCACAAATTAGACTCCCAGTTTCTCAAGACTACCGTTGCAGACATCCACAATGGCGCCGTCGCCGGTGGCGAGTGTTGCTCCATGGGCCGCCTCCATACACGCATGCCTAATATCCGCATGATTCCTTTTAAGGTTAGACACTGATATCATTAAATTTTGTCGGAGGATGATTTTGGCATCTCTAACGAGCCACTCCTTGTATTTGTAGTGCAACACGTCAGACTGCACGAGCTTCAGACCGTACTGAATAACGAAACTTTCCACTGCTTTCTTGTAGGAATCTACTCCTTTCAGCCCAGCAAACACCACGTTCTCCGGAATTACCGACTTGGGGGATTTCCAGTATTCACATAGTGAGTGCCTCAGTGGTGACAAAGGTTCCTTTCACCGGTATATTACCCATAGACGTTTTGAAAACGTCCCAGTTGTCTTCAAAAACTTGTGTTAAGCCGGCGTCAAGATGAAATTGGACAGGAGCACTATGCGCGATTAGGTGACATTCATATCCATTGAAACAAAATATATGACCAACTACCCTGACACCGATGACTTCTTAGCATCCAAATCCTTTCCACATCTTTCTTACTTCCATACTTCTTAATACTCTCATCTAAAATCCAATCAGTAATCCAAACTACCCCATCACTGACCAAGTAGAAATAAGGGGACAAACCCAGCCTTAAGATACCCAACTCGAGGCCAGCATAGCAGAGAGGCTCAATATTCTCCGCAATTATCGCACATTGTGCCTCCTTTTCTTCGTCTGCTAGGATCTCCACATAGGACCAACCTCTCGATTTGGCAGCAATCGTATACGCCAAAACATCAGCCGCACGGACAAGGTTGCTCTCCTTGTAGTAACGGTCCATTTGTTCAAAAACGTTGATGTAACCGGGTTTCATCAAGTGGGGGTTTACGTCGAAGTCAAGGAGGAAACGACACCATTCGGGGGAGGCGACGAGTGCCACACAGGCTTCTTCCTGTTCGGATGGGAGTGCTTCAACGCCTACGTCTGGCGACGCTTTGAAGCGTACATTCTCGGATGTGTCGACGCAAGCAGGGGACAGCTGCTCGTTTCCACACATCTCGTCGGTGTGGTGTTTGTCATGCATCCAAGACTCGTAGGCGAGGACGCTTTTGTTGTGGTGTGAGACAGATGTGTGGAAAGATCGAAGGGCGCCGGTACAAGCAGGAGGCGAAATGTTAAGCAATTTCGACGCGACCGACTGGCAAGTGGGTTTATGGTGGGGTGCCACACGACCGAGCAGGGTAGGCTTGAAAATAGTGCGCAACATGAGGGATGCTGCTTGGTGTTGTCGTTAAGTTGAGGGTTATTCAGAGTAGAGTTTTGCGTGGAGATGGAGCAGTAATGGCGGTGGTGGAGGTGAGGTGGTGGAGGTGAACTCGGGCTCGAGGTTAGTTACTTAAGTACTGTACATAGACCCAGCCTGCTTACCTAGGTATCTACGTAGGTATCTAGAGCTTGCGAATATCTGATTGCTAGCAAGATCAGTAATATGCAAACAAAAAATTGGAAGCGCGAGTAGGACGTGGGGATGCTATAGAAAGAGAATCTGCAACTTTCAACCTGCAATAAATTAATATGCAGTCTCCTCAGTTAATACTTGTTTTGGAATATTAAGACATTACTGCTGTCACTTTCCAAATTCCTCTCCCATCAAATTGCAACCCTAACCGCACAATCTTGAATGGTGTGACTCTCTCCTTAAAGCTACGCCTCCTTATACCACTTTAATCGTCAATTTAAATACCACTACGATCTTTCAACATTTCTTTCCGTCGTTCTCAAATCGCGCATCAGAATCTTTGCCACGATGTGGAATGCCATCTCCGCCTTCTCAAGGACACCGCCAACCGCCGTCAATGGCTCCTCAATGCGGAAACGAGTTTCGCGTTCAAGCACACCTCTCGTCTCTTTGTTGAACATTCTTCTTGGGTGGCATACAAGGCACTGATTTCGGAGGTGCTGATCCCAGGGAGCCCTGCCGTACGTGGATATCCGAATATTGTCAATCTAGTGGCTGTGAGTTGGGAGGTAGTTGACGGGGGAGATGTGAGACCAGTGCTGGTATTTGAGGAAGCCCAGCGGAAGGATATGGACGCTTTCTTGAAGTTGCGAGATATCGTTCGATGCGAGAGTGTCGCTGTGCAAGGAAATTGCACATGGTCTCATGCCGTTACATGGATCCAGTTCGTATATAATTCTGAGATTAAAGAGACGTTCATTGACTTGTGATAGATGTTGTCCATGGCGATCTCAAGCCGGAAAACGTGCTCGTATTCACCAATGCTAGTGGGTATACGGCCAAGGTAACGGATTTCGGGTATTCCTACTTTGGTGCAAGTGAGGATGAGGTGGTTTATCTTCCGTTTTCGTCACGGTGGGCAGCTCCTGAATATAACGGAGCCGGGTTTGTACTTAGGGACGCAAAAAAATCGGACTTTTATTCGTACGGATTGCTATATTGGTACATTTTGTTTCAGAAATACTTCAACGATCCAGACACAGTGGGCCAAAGGGTCCCGAAGATGAAGGCTCAAAACACTACTACAAATCAGAACGCAGAGTCTCCACAAGACTATCTGAAAATGAAACTGGACAAAACAATCGACGAGAGGTTTCCTGGCACCACCGAGTCACAAAAGTCAATACTACTAGGGTTTTTTCAATCTACTCTTTCGATAACAGCCACACGGTGCTCGGATTTTACGATATTGATAGCCTACCTTGACAAGTTCAAGTAAGTTCCCTAAATATCAATGTTGCATTCAGTAATTAACTCCCAAAGATCCTTCGCCGACAGTGGTTCCCCACTTGAGCTTACGGAGGTACCAAAACTAGATGTTAGCGTGCTTGAGCATGCTGGTTTTTCCGTGAGTGGTGCTATAACAATACAATTACGTGCACGGAGTCGACGGAACTGACCAATAACAAGGTAGCGGAACTAGTATTGCCATTGAGCAACATGGATTATAGAGTCCGGATCAAAACCAAGAAGGCTATTGAAGCTCAATATTCCGGAAGCTGCAAGTCGTGTCTCTCGAAAGCAGCGTTATAATTAGCTGTCTGTTACACATTGGGATTTGGTGGCCCTGCCGACAAAGACCAAGCTGCCCAGTTGTTAAAACACAATGGATACGATATCGGTGCCCACGATCGTGAGATTACTCTGGCATAAAACCGAAAACGCCATTCTTACGAATTCGAAGGAAAAACGCTTAGGAACTGGTTCGCCAACGTGGGGACTTCCCCGACATATCACTTGTGTATTTACGACAGAGAAATAGCAGATATGAAAGCAGTCCTTGGGATTGCCCATCCGGTCGTTCACAATCTGGAATGTGAGCTGTGTGTTACACTTCAAGCGGACGGAGACTTCGGAGCGGCAGAGCGGATTCTGAAAGACCTATCAAAATCAGAGCAAGAATTTGGGCTTGACTCTACGACCACTGAAATCGGTCTAGCAATGACATACTGGCACCAGGGCAAATGGGATGAGGCCGAGATGCTATTCGCGAAAGACTTACAACATCACCTTGAACAAGGCGGTATATCTTTCTCGGGCCTGGTGGTAATGAGCTGCCTGGCGTCAACGTACATGAAGCAACACCGGTACGAAGATGCAGAGCCATTGTTTGAAATAGTTTTGTCATTTTATGAGGATCGTCTAGGCAAAGAACATCCAGATACCATTAAGACTATGGGTAATCTCGCTGCAACGTTCATAGGCCAAGGCCGGTTGGAATCGGCGGAGGAGCTGTTAGCAAAGGCTACAGATACCAGCACGAGGCCCCCGGCAAAGAGCACCCAGATACCCTAAGCAGCAAGAATCGTCTCGCATTGACCCACCGCAAACAAAAAATGCGAAGGAGGCAAAAGATATACTGGTAGACCTACAGGCGACAACCGCGAGGGTGCTCGGTGAAGATCATCCGGATACCTTGAGCTGCATAGACAATCTCGCAATGACATACCGAGATTCCAGAGAGTTGAAAGATGCCGAGAAACTTGAGTCGAAAGTCAGAGACAGGAGAATGGAGGTTCTCGGCAAATGGCATCCAGATACCCTCAACAGCATGTACAACCTAGCTTTGATATACATAGACCAAAAACGACTGGACGATGCAGAGAAGTTGCTTTTGGAGGTTGTGGCGGCGGATTTCAGCACTCATAGTCTGGAAAATCGAGATACAGTGCTTAGCATGGACGCCCTTTGTATGATATACCTGGACCAAAAACGGTGGGAAGACGCTGAGAAGTGGTGTAAACGAGCGATATATGCGACCTTGGCAAAATCCGACTCGGGAGACCCATATGTAGTATACCTGAAGGCCAACCTCGGCGTAGCACTTACCAATCAGTAGCGCTGGCACGAAGCCGCGGAGGTATATGAGCAAGTATTTCGGGCAAAAAAGAACACGCTGTACCTAGAGGATCCGGACATCAATACGGTTATAATTATGTCCAACCTTGCATGGGCTTACACGCACCTCAAACGGTGGAAGGATGCTGAAGAGCTAATGATGGAAGTTGTGAAATGGCAAAGAAATTACGGGATCCCGATCACCCAGCTACTTTGGGAAGCATAGCACGCCTCGCACAGTTGTATGCGTACCAAGGACGGAGGGAAGAAGCGGAGGAGGACAAATTGGCGTTCTGGGCCAGATAGGACCCCCAATATGCGGGTATGTGGTAAAATTTTGCGAGCAGCTAAGCTATCTGTGTTGCAACTAGCGAGGGAGAGGCGATCTGTTGGAACATGTCAATCCACACTCATCAAGGGCCGGTGGCGCAATGGTAGCGCATCCTTCTAGTATAGGAAAGGTTCTAGGTTCGACTCCCCTAGCCAGTCCATTCTTTTCTTGGTTTCATCAGGTTATGAGCCCGGGTTAGTGGTACCCGTTGCCTGTTGCAGAAAAGTTTGGATGGCTTGCAGGTTCGCCCCAGCGATAGCACACCAGATGGAGTGTGGCTTGAGGGGGAGTGTTGGAACATGTCAATCCACACTCATCAAGGGCCGGTGGCGCAATGGTAGCGCATCCTTCTAGATAGGAAAGGTTCTAGGTTCGACTCCTAGCCAGTCCATTCTTTTCTTGGTTTCATCACGATCATCGTATCAGAAGTTGTAATTTAGCGTTCTTTCGTACGTCAAATCAGTCATTTTATACTCGAGTACGGTGATTGGAGGTGATTCCGATTTGCCGCGTCATGTATTGTCATGTCGGTCCCGTGGTAACAGTTAGAGTTACTATTCTGGAAACTGAGCGACAAGCGTCACCGGCCATCGCAGTTTGGGGAATTTCATTATTACCTGCCTGTAGAATCTGTGTGGAATTGATTCACAGGAAAGCTCTAGATATAAACCTCAGCAGAGCAAGCCAAATTTAGTATTGGTTATGGCACAAAAGGATGACAATGCAGAGAGTCCTTTCTAGCTAGCTAGAATGAGTGAAAGAGTTCATCATCAGCTCATCAGTTGAGCACGCGGACTAAGTCGAAGGTATCGACAATTAAAGTACAATTCAATGTACAAATGTCTTCTCATGCCCCGGGCTCATAAGCGGTCGGTTTAAGGTTCTTATATAACCGCCAGAAACCTAGTCTCAGTTAAAAATATTCTCGCTAGCTAGCTATCCGGATCCCCGCATGTGGGTTCTCTATACACACATCACTTCTGGAGCTCAGAAGCATAAGTACAAACTCCGATCTCCGCAGTTTTGGGATCCAGAGAAATTACCTGCTGGCTGCATGTGGCCGAAAACCACAGTCCACTACCTTATGGATTACTTGGCACAAAGAAAGTAGAAAAGTGCCCAGATTTCTAGTCTCACTCGCGAGCTTTCATTTTCGCAGTCTGCGAACGAAACAAAGAAAAGTGCATTTTTACTGGATTTTCTGGCAAAGGGTAAGCTCGATTTCCGGAACTGGTTCATGAACTTATCCAAAGGGGTACATGCAAACTATGGCGTCGGTATCACA